TTATAAGAAATGAAGCCATGTCTCGGTTGCTTGCTTAGAGTTAGGGAGCAGCGTCTGTCCCTCAGACCAGTCACACAAACCCTCCAGTCTTAACACCATTTCCTGGTGACAGTAGTATCTTTGAATCAAGTCTCTGATGATCTTTCTTCCCAGGTTCTTAGCGGTTCCATAGTCTGCTAGACCTGTCCTAGGCTTCATGCAGTCTGTTTAGTAACTCACTAGGGTAGCGCCTTCTAAACTAGAAGTCTGATGGTCCTCTGGGGTTCCTGTCACCTTATTTTTTGTCTTTCTGGTGCTGAGATTGAAACTCAGGACCTTGCACCTACTAGGCCAGAGAGTTACCACTGAGCAATGCCTCCAGCCCCATTTTAAAACTGAAGATTTGAAACCTCCATAGTGTAATTGTTTAGAAAACTTGCTGCTTTTGATTTCAAACCTCATGTGCCTTTACACATGGCTGCTGTGTTTGGACCTAACCCTAACCCTGAGCTATTTCCTCTCCATTCCTATGCTCTGCCTCTCCCCACACATACCAGACCATGTAAATGAAGCTGGTGGCAGCCCCCTTATGCTGTTCTAGCCTCATCTGCACTCCTGTCTGTCTCAGGCCTTGCTGTTGCCCCCAGCCTTGCTACAGTTCTTGCCTTCTATGATGGTATTTCAAGGCTCATTCTCTACCCATTCCCACCTCCTGCCTGGATTGCCCACTCTTTATCACCCTTATTGGCTGAACTTCAGGTCTCTTCTTCCAGGAAGCTCTCCCTGTTATGCTGTTTCCAGAGTTCAAGTTGAAAACCTCACAGCTCCCAATATTACCTCAAATTAGAGGAAATTGGTGCTTCTCACCTTGGGCCATCTCTCCAAAGTAAGCTCAGTAGTGTGAGGTCTTAACTTTTCCTGTTACCCTGAGCCAGGCACCAGACACGGATGTGACCTTCAAGGGTGAAAGCACAAAAAACGTGACCATGCACAAACGTGAGGAGCTAGTTGTCACTTGCCAATCATGTGGCAAGAGCCCACCATCTGTGGCACTGAGCATCTAGCCCACCATAAGAATAAGTACAGCCATGTAAGAGGGTAGAACAATTCCTACGCAGCAAGAAGGTGGAGAGAGCTAAGGGCTCAAGAGAGTGACATCCTTGAAGGGAGGTGCTTCAGAGGGGCAAGTGGGTACAGAGCCTGGTTAGTGGCTTAGGGCTGAAGCAGGGTCACTTCAGCATGAATCAGTTAAGCTAGGAGGCCTAACTCCTGGGGTGGGGGTGGGAGGATACCCTGCTGATTGGCCAGAAGGCCATAGAGCTTTGTGAGGTCACAGCTTGCAGGCCAGGTTAGGGCAGGAGTATGGTAGAGATGGTGCCAACTGTCGTTCTGCTGGTCTTTGCAGTGCCCGTGTTTGCCAAAGATAACACCATGTGTGAGTAAGTGATGGGGCATCTTGGTGGGGGAAGGGCATCTTCTGAATAACAGGTCCCACCCAGACTTCGTTTGTCCAGGGCTAGGACAGCTCAGTGTTGAGCTTGGGCCTTAGCAGCCCTGGGTAGTCTTACAGCTCCTGTGACCCACAACTCCCAACTTAGACCCTCCCTGCTTTCAGAACCGTTTTTCCAGAATCATTGGGTCTCTAGTCTAAGTTTTCCCCCAGAGAAATCCCCCATTCTTACATCTGTGTCCCCTACTTCTCCAGTTACTGGCCCCATTACCTGTCAGGGATTCGGTCCTGAATTTTAGGAACCCATCCTCCTATGGATAACTGAGGTATCCTATGTGTGAATGAATCCAAAGGAATCATGTCTCTGCACCCTCATGAAGACTTTTATTCTTGAGGGATCCACAGTGCATTCAACTCTGGACCCTCATTGTTCCTAGTAGTGACCCCAATGGTCATGGGCCACTATATTTGCTTGCAGCTACTTTCTCTTAACCTAATGCTACAGCCCCAAGACTCTCCTTGATCATATGACAATTGCCTGAGACTCCTATCCAAGATCCTAGGCCATTTTATACCCCTTTATCTCCATAGCACTTCTGACTCCCACTCTGTCCAGGGGTCCCTCAACACCTCTTGGGCCCATAAAAATATTTCCTAGAGACTATCACATCTTGCACACTCCAGGCTGCTTCTCTTTCCCCAAAGCTCCTCCCCCATCTTTCCCAACCTCATGTCCCTGCCTCCCCCAGGTGTGAAGGTACAAAGACTGCTTGCCTCTTTTTGGTTTGAAAGTGTCTTGATCTCTCCTCAGTGGCCCCTGTGGGTTACGATTCAGGCAGAACCCACAAGCAGGTATCCGGGTTGTCGGAGGCCAGACTGCGCAGCGTGGGGCCTGGCCCTGGATGGTCAGCCTACAGATCTTCATGTCCTACAACAGCCGTAGGTACCATGCCTGTGGAGGCATACTGCTGAATTCTCACTGGGTGCTTACAGCTGCTCACTGCTTCGATAACAAAAAGTACGTGTGGGACTCAAAGAGGGAGGTCTCCAGAATACTCTTCTTGGAAAAGGACATTCCCCAGGGGCTATGCCCAGGGTCTCTTTGGAGCTCTGGGGTCAAGTGGCAACCAGACCTTGACAGGGCTCTGAGGGTCACTTAATCACAGGTTTCTGTTTAGCCAGTCTGTAAATGAGTACGACTGGCTTACCTTTGTGCCCACAGAAAAGTCTATGACTGGAGACTGCTTTTTGGAGCACAGGAAATCGAATATGGGAGAAACAAGCCAGTGAAAGAGCCTCTGGAGGAGAGATACGTGCAGAAAATCATCATCCATGAAAAATACAACGCTGTCACAGAGGGGAATGACATTGCTCTTGTGAAGATCACCCCTTCTGTTGCATGTGGGAGCTTCGTTGGGCCAGGCTGCCTACCTCATTTTAAGGCTGGCCCTCCCAAAAGTCCCCAAACCTGCTACGTGACTGGGTGGGGATACATAAAAGAGAAGGGTGAGTATGAGTGGGCCTCTCTGGTGGGTGCCAATGCACATACTTGGTCTTTCTGTGGCAGGGGTCATATGTTGATGTGTGGCCAAGTAATTTAAGTTCTCCTTATGGCATCATGAATAGAGCTTACAGGCCCTTTCATGGCTGGAGAATTCAGTGTGAGAGAAGCTGAGTCACCTGTCCAAGGTCACGTGACTGGTTGATAGCCTGACTACTGGTTGGAAGACTGAAAGGCAGACACAAGTAGAACCTTGAGCGAGGCTATGCGTGTGTCTAGCACCTGGAGGCCCAACTGCTGGATGCTGGGCATTGGAAACTTAAACTGAAACCATATTTGGAAAAGGCCTCTGGATGTATAGCTTTGTAGCCGTGGTGTTTTCCTTATCTTGAGCATGGAAAGGCTGGAACACATGGCTTCCAGACTTGAGCACCCCCAACCTCTGTGATTTCAGGGCTGTTCTATTCAGTATCAGCAGCAGGCATCTAGGTATCTTTGGGTACTCATAGCAGACTCACTTTCCTTCCTAGGTACTTGATGTTCTCTCTGTAGACTGGTAGGAATGCAGGTAGTAGATACAATTTTCTCTGGGTCATAGTTATTCTAGTAGTTCAAGTCCTTTGAAACTTTCCAGCAGTTCTCTTGATACTCAAGATGAGTGTAGCTGCCTCTTTTGCCCTCTCTGTCCTAGTTCAAATCATTGGCCTTTTCCCTGGCCCAGACCTTTCTTGCACCAATGATACCAGACCCACAGAACACCAGGTGAGTAGAGGAATCTTTTCCACAGCAGACTAGCTCACAGGGGGTCCAGGATGTGATCTAGAGTCATTCCTGACTTCAGGGTTATATCCTGAGTCCCAGATAATGATAATCCTCCACACATGCTTGAAGCCTAGAGCCGTTGTTGATACCAGAAGCAGCAGGTCACCTCCTCAAGTGCCAATAATAGACAGCAGGGTTTTGTCACTGGGACAAGACCAAGAAGAGCTTGGTCTCTGCTCATAAACAATGCTTTCAGCTTCCCATGAGTGGTTGTACAAAATTTCATTGTTATATTAGAGATGTGAAAATGTGACTGAAGTGAACTGACCTCTCAGTTTTTTCTTCGATATTGGAAAGGTTAGGCTTCCTAATTCAAGGCAATTTAGTCATTTGGGTTTTAGAACTCAGCCTTTTTGGGGTAACAAAATGATTTGGGGATTCCCCCGCACTCTTACTCTCTTTTCCTAGAGGTTGATGTAATTCTTTAAAGGTTTACTGCCTGTCCTGTCCTTCAGGGAAGGGGTTCTTATTCTAGCTACTTTTGATTTCACTGGCTTTTCCTGACATGTGACTCTAGCTATTTGGTCTGGGGTGGGGCATTCCCATCCCAGCTGCTGGTGCCTGTGGCTCAGCCTAAGCATGAGGATATATATTATTTGCTCTGACCTATCTGCCCTTTGAGCATGTACATAGATAGCCTGGAGTTCTTAAAGTCCTTGGGAAGCTGGTCACTGGTCTTTTGTTCTTAGAACCCTCTTAAATGAATGGGATTATCGTTCATTTTTGACTTGCAAACATATACCCTCTGCTAAAGCTCTAGTCCTTAAAAAAAAACTCCGGGCTCCAAACTCCCATGGCCTGCTCACGTCTGATTGGTTCTGCCTCCTGTTTGAGTTCATCTGCTTTGGGGCTGGAAAAGCTACCCAGGTATTGTTACTTTTGCTTGGATTTTTACTTAAATTGGCTGGAATTGAGAACATCCTGTTTCAGGACACCTGGTTTCTTCACAATGACTTTCTATGACTTTTTCTATGACTTTCAAGACTATGGGCTCAGCCATAGATCTAAAAAGTTACTTTAATGGCTAACAAGTCAGGACTGTTGTTATTATTAATGCAGTGTCATTCCCACCTTAAGAAGAGGTTGTACAAACCTCTTACTTCTGCTTGGGTGTGAGGAAAGGTGGAGGTTCTGTTGAAAACCAGAAAACAACCTCCCAGTCTCAACCTTCAGACAACCAAAACTCAGCAAGTGTGCATTTAATATCCATCTCCTGACTGCCTGCTAGGTGTTCAGCTCTGCACACACGGCTCTACATGTTTCCTGTCTTACCACCTGTACTCACATGGCTGTCTTCCAGGTGTGCCCTGTATCAGACTGTTCCCCACTTGTGCTGCCCATGAAATCCAGACCCACACTGCCATGGGAGGGGACTGTCACAGCTGCTGCTGTTAAGGACCCTGCTGGCTGCATGTGATGAAGAGGCACAGCTGTGCTGGTTCTGGGGCTATGTATAAGCCAGATGCATGCTGGTTGCATGAGCTGCAGCAAAACTGGTCTTTCCTAATCCCCATGGTAGGATCTGTGGTAGTGAGAGAAGCCCTGACTTAGCTTTCCTCTTCATAAAATCTCAAAGCAGATCTGAGACACACAGAGGAATCCTGTCTGAAGCTGGGTGGAGGAGTCCCAATGAAGGATAAAAAACAGGGAGGGTGACTTCTAGACATACTGTGGAGAATGAAAGGAATATCTTAGTCATGAATCTAGGGGCAATTCTGGCCAGATTTAAGCTCTGCCCATTCTTGAAGCAGGTGGGTGGTACTCTAGCCCCTGGTCCAAACAGGGAATAATAGAACCAAGGACTCAGTGCTAGGCACATGCTAGTTGTATTTGTGAAGCTACTACTAACCTCCACAACCCCTCATCTATCACTAATATAGACCCTCTGCTCTTCTTCCTTTTCTTCTTCACCCAGGCAAAATTCCTTCATTTCCACCCTCATCTGCCCTTTCACTGTATTTCCTCCCCTCAGGAGTATGAGGTGAGGCTGAGGGATCTAGGTTTAACCAGAACATTACATAGAATGGATGGAGGTTCTTGGAGGGAGGAGGCAGGGCTTTCTTCCAGTCCTCTTTGAGCACTGACCACTGTGTGTCCTGGCTGCAGCCCCCAGGCCATCACCTGTCCTGATGGAGGCGCGTGTGGATCTCATTGACCTTGACCTGTGTAACTCAACCCAGTGGTACAATGGGCGTATCACATCAACTAATGTGTGTGCAGGGTATCCTGGAGGCAAGATTGACACCTGCCAGGTAACTTTCTTCCGGTGCCCAGACCCCTGGGTCCCTCTGGGGCTCCTAGCCCCTGGGACAACCTTTCAAGTGCCCGAGCTACACCCTTTCCACTCCCTACTCAGGGCTCTACTTCAGTTACTACTTCCTTAGTCCCTTTTCTCCGTATCTGCCATCAATATGAGGATGGGGGGGTGACATATCCCATCTGCTCTCGTAGAGAAACAGTCACCACACTAGCACACAGAGCATAGCACCCAAATCCAGCCAGCCCTTGGAGATGTTTGCCTCTTCCCCAGAACACAAAGCACCTAAAACCACAGGTGCTCATGCATGCAGGTAAAGTCACACGCATGTAACATGTGCTCACTCATCTTATTGAAAGGAGACTCATGACCATCCGCTACCCTTCACACCCCAGTAGATGTTGGTATCTCCAACTTTGCCACTTGTGTCTCTGGCAGCAGAAAACTATGTGACTGCAGACATTGGTTTCCCACAGCCCCATGATCCTTTGGGCAGGGAGAGTGGTTCAGGCCGAAAGTGACCCCTATGACCTTCTGGACAGGGGGACAGTGGTGGGCCTCTCGTGTGCAGAGACAACGTCAACAGCCCCTTTGTGGTCGTGGGGATCACGAGCTGGGGGGTAGGCTGTGCCCGTGCTAAGCGTCCTGGAGTCTACACAGCCACCTGGGACTACCTGGATTGGATTGCTTCCAAGATCGGCCTTAATGCTTTGCACACAGTTCAACCAGCTGCCCCTCCCCAGTCTTCTACCCACTCACCGCTCATGTTCAGCCATCCCACCCTTCACCCTTGGTATTTCCATCATGTGCCTCCTCCACGACCATCTCAACGACCTAGACCACCTCGGCCTCAGTTTCATCGACCACCCCAAGTCCAATTCCCGCCATACCAAATCCAGCCCTCAACCCCATCCCAATCTATGTCGTATACTTACCCTACACATCACTTTGAGCATCCCACAACACCATTTTCTTTTGTCCGGCACGTACAACAATTCATGGATATTATGAAGAAGAGGCTTTATTCTGTCTCAAATACCAATTTACCAATGAACTACCCCACGTATGAGCCAACAAACCCAGTGAGCCCCTCCTTCATTCCTGAGAAAAGAGAGATGAAATAAAGCACATATATTTATATACACATAGATGCTTTCTGGACTTCTGTCTGCCTTTCCCAGTTCAGTCCAAACCCTCCTCCATCAAATGTATCCCCTCCTTTCTTTACCCTCCAATAAAATGGAATTGCTTGTGTATTCATATTGTTTTTGTAATGTTGAGTTTTAATGCTAGAATAAGGTGAACTGGGGCCATAGGCCAGGCATGATCTTTATTTCATCCATATTGAAACTGTCAGGTGTTAAATGCCTCTCTATATGCAACTGGAGAGTGGGGTGAAAGAGTTCCACCAGCTGAGCTGACTAGGAAAGATGGGGAAGTGGTTCCAGTCTTCCACTAGGAGGTCATTTCCTTGTGATTCTACCAAGAGACAGACCCGCCATTGCTTCTACATGGAAGGCTGAGCTCCCTGGAAGACAAGGGATGACTGGGCAGCCAACATAAGTGTCCACCTGTAAACAGTCTTGTTGCTGACTGAACATTCCCTGTTCAGGTTCATTACCGGTCTGTGGCTAAATCTATTGGTTCTTGGATTCAAGCAAATAAAATTTTATTTGCTAAAGATTCTAGGAATAGCAGCGAGAAGGTATCTTTTGGATGCACCTGAATTTGGAATGTTCTACCATCAGAATGTTTATATGAACATTCATTGAAGGGCTGGAGATACGGCCTAGCAATGAAGGAAATTGGCTCTTTTTGCAGAGGAGGTAGCTAACAACCATATGTAACTCCAGTTCCAGGAGATCTGATGCCATCTTCTGGCCTTTGTGGGCATTACATGCATGTGGTGAACTTACATGCAGGCAAAACACTGATACACATAACAATTAAAATAATAAAAAAGAACATCCATTATGAGGAAGAGAAACCAGTTTGAACCATTTTAATAATATAAAGATGTCATGAAGAACCAATAGGAAAGGCCAGAAGCAGACTCAAGGAACAGTGAGCCTAGCAAGGTATGGGCACAGTCTGACGTTTCCTCAGCCCTCAGGCCAGACTACTCACATTTGTTTTTGAGTCCTGGGAAAGAGATCCTGATGGGCCCTGTTCCACTATCTATTCTGGTCAAAAAGTAAATAAAATCTGCTGGATTAACTACTTGTAAGATTACAGTTGGCAAGGGAGCTGGAAAGGGAGGGAAGGAGAGAAGAAAGGGGGGAGAGAGGGAGGGAAGGAGGGAGGGAGGGAGAGAGAGAGAGAGAGAGAGAGAAGAGAGAGAGAGAGAGAGAGAGAGAGAGAGAGAGAGAGAGAGAGAGAGAGAGAGAAGACTTGTGTGTCAGCCAAATTCAAGATGGTCTGATGACCTAGCTGCAACGGCAGATAACAAAGCATTATGGCAGGCGGGAGGGGCTCTGGGGGAGAAAGCCTGAAGGACTCATTTTTCTGCCTTGCTAGAATAATGAGGCATCTGCTTGTCTTAGAGTTTCTTTGGTCTGCTCAACAAAGCTCTGCTATGCCCCTAAGCTCTGTGCCCTTAGAAAGATGTATGTACCAGCAGATTATGTGATCATGAAATAAGGATGGGTGTATACCATGCAGAGCAGGGTTTGGTATGTTCCAGATGCTTACAAATGTGAAGTGACCTGTAGGAACTGACTAGTGATAAGTTGCTGGTCACATGGTTTGCCCATATGTGACCTTAAAACACTTTGGCCACATAGGAGAGCTTGCATATTGGTCTGGTCAGTCCTATATCTCTGTATCATACCATCATTTGGTTACATTTAAAAGCCTTGGCTGAGAACTGGTATTACTAAAACTTGAGTTTGCAATTTGTTTTGTTTGGTTTGGGACTCTCCTAGAGCCAGTCTCTTTCTTCTCCCTCTCCGTCCTCCCCCTCTACTGTCTCCTTCTCCTGCTCTCTCTCTCTCTCTCTCTCTCTCTCTCTCTCTCTCCACCCCCCAACCATGTAGCTCAGGCTGCCTCAAACTCACAAATCTTCCTGTCTATTAATGCTGGGATTATAGGCATTAGCCATGTACCTTCATGACTTTGAGTCAGTTTAAAAAAACTCTCTGTCTATATAATTTTCTAGATTCTATGAAAATAAAATGCAAGCTCCTGGTCACTAAGCAAGTTAAAAGCTACCTTATACATCACGTGGTCCAGAGAACAGGGACAGTAGGAGCACCATAAGATAGACATGGAGCTGGGGGCTTACAGGTAGGAGTAATGGGGCAAGTTGTGCTTTGGCTAGGATTAGGGTGGTCATGGAGGACATGGGGGAGGAGCAATAACATCCCAGAGATCCTATCCCTTTTTGAGCCTTCTGGGATCCAGAATGCATTCTCCTGGTGTCCCCCCACCTCTCTATTTAATGATATGTAAGTGTACCACATGCATGCAGTGTCCGTGGGGGCCAGAAAAGTGCATTGGATCCCCTTGAAGATGGAGTTATAGAAGGTTATCTTACTGCTGGGAATCAAACTCTGGTCGTCTGGAAGAAGCAGTAAATGCTCTTAACTGCTGAGTCGTCTCCCCAGCCCCTTCTCAAGTGCTCTAGCCAAAGTCCTGTTGTATTCTCTCTTCAGTGAGGTAGAAATTTTTTCTTTGAGCCTGTCTGTTTACACCTTGGTCTCCTTCCTGGAGAAATGGACTACTGTCAGGGAACGTGGACGTGGGTGGCCACAGACCAGGTGGGACAGAGTCCAGGTGATTGTTTCTTGTTTCCCCTTAGAAAGTTCTCATTCGCATGAATGAATTGCTCTATTACCCCCTCCATGTATTTTCACTGCATTCTACTCTACGATTTTTTTTCCACTTAGCAGGTATTGAGGTATTTCTATATGAACATGGCCAGACCTAAGTTCTCTAAGTCCCATATAGCACGGTTCTGTTGTGCCCTGTGCCATTCTTTAGAGAGGTGCATTTAGCATCCTGCTATTGAGTACGCATTTCCCCATATCTCAACAAGCACTGGCTCTTATCAAATGTGTTGACCCTTGCCAATGTATTAGATGTTCTAATTTCGATTTTAAAGATCATAAATGATTTTGTTTATAAGTGAATTGGGTCTCTTTGATAAGCCTTTTTGTCATTGTGGAGATTTGAACCCTAAAAATGACTCATAGACCCTGGAATGGATATTTTCTGAAGAAACAACTGTGCAATAAACCAAGCCTAGGTGACCTAGAATCTGAAAGGTGTGCTCACTATTTCTCATGAGATTCTTCAGCAAGACTTTTATTTTTAGGTGCTGAGGGTTAAACCCAGGGCCTTGTGTATGTCAGACAAGCACTCTGTCAATGAGCCATTTTACCAGTCCCTCCGATAAGAAATTTTAAAAACCAAATTTATAATGAACTGTATTGTTGGGAAAAATAGCAGAAAATGATTAGATAACAGCTGGACTTGCCCTGAGCAGCGGTGTGACTGCAGAAAGGAGGCACGCAGCCACAGATATAGTTATGACATGAGCAACAAGCTCTGACTGTGGACTTGATCTCATGATATCTACAAGGGAAAAACTGGCCCTAATGAATATATTTAGTACATTTAAAATAGAAATGGAAAAATAGAAGTGGGCTACCTTCAATGTACTGAAAACTCATCAAGAAAACAGAATAGGTTTAAGGAGTTTACTCAAGATCACATTCTTAGTAAGGAACCATCAGTGAACTGCTACGGTCACCACAGATGGCTCATGGTATGGACATGTGCTTCCATTTCTCTTGGGTAAATATAGATGGAGCGGGACAGTTTGGTGGCATGGGAGGCATATGTTTTGACATATGAACACACCTTGTGAAGCTACCAACACAATTATGATAGTGAACATGAACACCTGTCACCCCCCCACGGTTTCCTCATGTCCTTTATAATCCACCCAACCCCTCCTCTCTCCTGCTTCAGGCAACTTCAACCTGCTGTCTCTCATCTTTATGGGTTTGCATTTCCTAGAATGTTATGTAGAATCTTCTTTCTCTCCTTCCCTTCCTCCCTTCTACCTCTCACTTTCCTTTTCTCTTTTGTTCCTCTTTCTCTGACAGAGCCTAGGCTGTCCTTAAAGTCAATCCTCCTGCCTCAGCATTTTGAGTACCCAGATTGAAGATGTGTGCCACTTTTGGGTGCAAGTACTCTGTTTTGTCTACTGTTTTTGCTAAGTTAATCATTTTGAGATTTAGCTATATGGGAGTATATATCAGTAATTCCTTTTTATTAAGTATTTTATTGTATGGCTATATCATGATTTGTTTTTCTATTTTCATTGTATTGTTTTCAGTTTTGTCCACAACAAGTAAAGCAGCTATGAAAATTTATATTTATATACCTATCATTTGCATTTTCTTAATCCACAGTGTGCATGTGTTCACATTTCTTGGCTAAGTGCCTTTGGAGAATGGTTAGATCATATGGTAGGTGTATGTTAAGCATATTTTACAAGCAGCCAAAGTATTTTTCAGGGTTGTTGCCACATTTTGCATTCCCACAGTAGAGTTCCAATTCTGGTTGCTCCACATCCCCAACAGTTCTTGTTATGATCAGGCTTTTAAATTGTAGCCATTCTGATAGGTTATGGTAACATTTCATTGTCAATTTTTTTTTTGGTCTTCTTGAGACAGGGTCTCCCTGTAGCCCTGGTTGGCCTGGAACTCACGATGTAGACCAGGCTGGCCTTGAATCATGGAGATCTGCCTGCCTCTGCCTCCTGTGTGCTGGGACTACAGGTGTACGCCACCACACCCAGCAATTTTGTTGCTATTTTAATTGTATTTACTTACTGGCTAGAGGTGGTAAACAGCTTTTCATGTTTTTATTGCCACAGAAATGTTTTCTTTGGTGGTGTCTGTTACAATCTTTTGCCTATTTAAACATTTAGCCTATTATTTTACAGTTTTGAGAGTTCTGTTTTGTGTTGAATGTCATGCTTTTAAATATTTTCTCAATGTCATTGATTTACCTTTTTATTCTCTAGTCTTTTGAAAAATAGAAAATTTAAATTTAGATTGAGTACCATTGATCAATTAGTTTTTTAATAGATAATACTTTTGATTTCAAGTCTAAGAAAAGTTGGCTTAGACCAAATGCTACAGAGGTTCTCTTCTAGAAATTTAAAATTTGTATGTACAATTTATTTACTTATTTATATTTTATGACTACCAGCGTTTTGCC